CTACTAATCTATGTGCCGCCACATGGCTTGTGGCTTTTACCTCTCCTCCTACACATCCTGCTTCCTCTGTGTTGGGTTGGTGACTCCCCCTTTGTTCTTCCCAGAGCTCTCTCTCTTTCCAGAAGTCCCACCTATACCTCCTGCCTAGCTATTGGCCATTTAGCTTTTTACTAAACCACTCACAGTGACATATCTTTACACACTGAAATCAAATCTCTCTCAACAGGAGAGAATATCAAGGAGGTAAACTCCCAGAAGTTCAATGAAGACATCGCTGAATAAATGGGGTGGGAGCATTTTGTGTTAAATGTTGCTTAAGCATACGGAGTACCAGCGAGTTGGTACTGTAAAGGTCATGCTGACATTTGCAAGTGCAGTTTAGGTAGAAAGGACAGATGAGCAAACGGTGAGAGTGCACTCAAGGGAGAAGAGACGGAAAGGAAGTGAAAACAGAACATTCAGAAAACCCTAGAAATGCTACTGTAAAGGGAAGCGAAGAATGGAACTCTACACAGGACCAAGAGATTTTTGTTTGCTTTTAAGAGATAGAAAGAATATGAAGTTGGATGGGTGGGGAAAGTAGAGGTCTGGGAGGAGTTGAAAAGGAGGGAAATTTTGTATAAAAAATTTGAAAACTCTCGTGTGTGTGTGTGTGTGTGTGTGTGTGTGTGTGTGTGTGAATTTGTAACCCACAAAGAACTGGAACTCATGTAGTCCAGAATGGCTTCAAACCCTCAAACCCCCTCCCTTACTTACTCCCGGTGCTTACAAGCACGAGGCACCACACCTGACTAAGTTCGCTTTTTCTCTCATGACAGAGGCATTGCAGTGTGCTGGAAACTGATGGAAATAATCCAAAGAGGAAAGGTGGTGACAGAAGGCTATTTGCACAAGAGAAACATGGACTTAGGGCTACCAAAAGATTTCCTTGAGAGCACTCCTGGTCACTTGTACTTATGTGCCCAAGACACAACTCAGTTATTCATCAATACTTCCTGGTTATTCTTGGCTGTGCCCTAAAATGATGCCCAAACTTACAGACCTAAAACAACGTGATGGTCTCATGGCCCATGATCTCATGGAGCAGAAAGAAGTGAGAGAGGGCCCAGCAGAGAGAAACATCTTGTTCTCACTTCTCTGGGCCTGGAATGGATTGAATGTGATGGCTTGGGACAGGTGGGCATCTCCCTGTCCATCCTCAATCCCTTTCCTGGGTGACTGGGGTCTCCTCTGGTGTTGCTTTCAGGGTAATCAGACTCCCTATGCTCACGGCCCCAGGAAGAAAGAAGCAAAATCTGTTTGTCCTCTTCCAAACAAGGCCAGAAATTGCAGAAGAGAGTTTGGGTTTTTAAAGAGAACATAGACTTCGTGTTTGTTTGCTTTGTTTTGTTTTTCGAGACAGGGTTTCTTCTCTGTGTAGCCCTGGCTGTCCTGGAACTCACTCTGTAGATCAGGCTGGCCTCAAATTCGCTGAGACCTGCCTGCTTCTGCCTCCCGAGGGAGAACATAGACTTTTAAATCACTGGAATTTTTAAAGCCCATAGGAATTTTCAAGTCATACCATGTTTTCAAAGGTGTTATTAACGTGAGATCTTGGTTCAGGGAAAATTAATGGCTGAATAGTGATGTGCTTGAGAGTCAAGTTGACAAAGGGACAATTGGGCAGGTTAGTTTTTGTCAACTGGACACAAACAAGAGTCACTTGAGCAGAGGGACCCTCAGTGGTGGAATCTCTTCAGTCAGCCTATAGAGCATTTTCTTGTTTAATGATTGAGGTGGAAAGGCTCATCCACTGTGGGCAGTGTCACTCCTGGGTAAGTGGTCTTGGGTTGTATAAGGTAGCAAGCTGAGCAAACTGGAGGAAGCCAGGAGTCAGTGTTCCTCCATGGTCTCTCTTTCAATTCCTGCTTCGAGGTTCCTATCTTGAGTTCGTCCACTGACTTCCCTCAGTGATGGACTATTATCTGAAAGGATAAGAAAAATAAACCCTTTCCTCCCCAAGTTGCTTTTGGTCAGTGTTTTATCACAGCAATAGAAAGTTAATCAGGACATCTTTTGACGTCTGCACACCCATAGTGGTACTTGTACATCCACATCTCACACACACACACACACACACACACACACACACACACACACACAGGAAAGGGATAGAGAGATTTTAAAAAATCAAACAAAACATAAACTATCCACGGTTTTCTCTTGGCCAGCTTTGTTCACAGATGCACAGTACCCCATGCTCAGTATGAGGATGTCAAAGGATTAGCAGCCGTCTTAAATCTACCACAATTAATAACTGTGTATTCATGCAATGGGACAACACACAGCTACAACAACGAGAACAACAAAAACTATCGCTTCTTGCAGGGAGCGAATGGCAAAGATATAATGTTAAATGTTAGTCATAAGGAAATATATTCTATACTGGTGCATTTGTGTGAAGTTTTGTTTGAATAATCAATGGAGGATATCAAATTTGAATGGGTGGGGGTCCTACCCAATGGAGGATGCAGGAGTGCATGCAGGACAACAAGTGTTCTCTGCATCTTGATCTGGTGCCAGTAACACAGGTGTATGAGCACACACAGAAAAGTCCACCAGCAACACACTCAAGATTGCTATTCTTAATTTATCTAAAGTGTGCATACATTTTATTCTCTTTACTTGATTTTTTTTTAAATCTAGACAGAGTCTCACTGTGTAACCCAGACTGATGTCAAAGGTAAAGTCCCCCATCTCAGTATCGTGAATACTAGAATTACAAGCATGCGCCCCCACCCCCATGAATAGCCACACATTTTTAAAAGATCTAAAGCAAAAGAAACACACTGCAGAGAAGAGAGGAGACCGTTGATGGCAGGGCTGTCCGGTGGAGGCTGCTGTGTGGCCATGAGACAGCTGATTTCTCCTTGGAAACAGGCAGCTAGGACAGACGCTAAGGGGGAGGGGAAGGAGAAAGGAAGACTATGGGGGTGAGAAGTGGAAGGAACAGTCAGGGCAGCCGTGTGGGACGCCTTTTGCCAGCACTCAGCAAAGCCTGGCCTCGGGTGTCATTTGGTCATTCATTTCCAGAGAGGCAAGGTCTGCATGCAGGGACAAGATACCCTGTCCAGACCCAGCTGAGCACAGGCAGGAAGGGACGTCAGTCCCCGTCTGGCTTTGCCAGATTTGGAAAGAGGCTGAGGCAAAGAGTTGAATGTATGGAAGAGAAAACAGAAACAAAAAACAACAACAAAAACAGATAATAAAGGTCTGGGCCCATAGAGCTAAGAATGCTGTGTTAGAAAAAGGGAGTTGAAAATACATGGGGTGGGGTGAACAAGGAGGGGTAAGGCAAGGAGTGAGTTGAGGAAGGGCAAGGCAGGGGTAATAGAGCAGGAACAGTTTATTGATAATCGTGGTGTCTGTCGCTGGGATGGGCAGGTAGGTGTGTGTCCGCAGAAGCTGACTGATAGACAAGGGCCCCTCGAGTGCAGGCGCCCAGCACACACAGGTTTATTTCAGGCTTTCCAATCACAGCGCAGCATGAGTTTTCCATGGGTGCTGCTCCAGGGCTTCAGCGCCTACCTTCCCATCTGGCTCACAGAAAATGAGTGTGCAGGCAGGGGACTGGATATTCCTCTGTCCAGACCTTGGCTGTGAAGCCACACCTAACCTCGAAGGAAGAAGAGAGCAGAACAACAGAACTGGGGAGTGAGGAGCGGCCTCTGACACAGATGGAGGTCAAGGTTACTGGGGAAGAGGCGGTCACGGAAAAGACCGGCAGGCGGGTGCTGGCAAGCCTGTTTGTGTGGGTTGTGGAATTACCATAAACTTGCAAAAAGTGACAGAGAATGAAACTCTAAGAAATCCAGAGATGTGACCTCAGAGTCAACAAAGAGAAGTATTTCATAAATAGAATCACGAGAGAGAGGAGAGAGAGAGAGAGAGAGAGAGAGGGAGGAGAGAGAGAGAGAGAGAGAATAGTGCTGAGGATGAAACTCATGCCCTTGTGAGTGTTAGGCAAGCACTCTACCATTGAGCTACACCCCAAGCTCCAGATGAGCCTATAGTTTTGAATCAGGAAATAAGGATGCACACCCCCTCTTCAAGTGAGGTAAGTCCAAGCTGTGCAGGGGGAGAAAACAGACTGCAGGAGCTTCCGGGGACATGCTGTGCATTCTCCCCAAAGGAAGGAGAACTGGGCAGCACCATTCTCTGTGAGGCCCACTCTCTTGGGACAGGGATGACAAGAATACTTTCCTTAGACAGCTGCATGAAATATTGAAATACCTGAAAAGTATGTGGCATGCATGACGTAATTTCTTGGTGTTGTGCTAAAGCATGCTGGAGCCGGTGAGATGGCACAGTGGGTAAAGGTGATTGCCACCAAGCCTGACAGGTTGAGTTTGGTCTCTAGGACCCAATGGTAGAAGAAGAGGCCGGATGTCAGAATCATACTGTGGCACATAAACACACATACACACACACACACACACACACACACACACACACAGAGAGAGAGAGAGAGAGAGAGAGAGAGAGAGAGAGAGAGAGAGAGAGAGAGGACAGACAGACAAAGGGACAGAGAGACAAGAGTGTCAGAGAGGGAGCACATACAGATTTTTTTCCTTTTTTGTTTTTGTCTTTCGTTGTTTATGGTTTTTGCTGTTGTTGAAATAGGCTCTTGTGTAGCCCAGGCTGGCCTTAAACTTGCTAGCCAAGCATGACTTTGAACTCGTGATCCTCTTGCCTACCCTCTCAGTGCTGGGATTGCAGGCTGAGACCGCTACTTGCTCTCCTTTCTCTAGTTGCACACTTCCCTTCCTGAGGCCTTTCCCTTCCAGAAATCAAAGCTGTGTGAGCTCTGCCCGAGCTAGGACAGGATCCACCAGTGAACCCGTCACTGCCACATGAGCTCAGGCTGCCACTCAGCTTCAACACCATGTAGAAGTTCACTGAGTTTTAGACTAGTTTGGGAAAAGGGATATGTAACTTATATAAATAGACACAGAATCTCATTTCAAAAGGGCGGAGGAAAAGAAGCTTTTTATTAGAACAGGGAAGTCCTGGGAGGGGTGTGGTTTTTTTTCCAGATTACAGTTAGTGAAACTGCACCCCCACCCCACCACCTGAGACCGACTTGTGAATGACCTGTGGAGGAAGCCTGCTGTGGTTTTCTCCACTGCTGTGTTGTCTCACATCCCCTGAGTGGTGCCCGGGACAACAAAGGCTTCTAGAACCTGTGGTCAGTGGAGAGATCCCAGAGCACTGGGCATGGGAGTTCAGTGGGCCCTCTGTAGACTGTTGATATCCACGTATCACTCTGCAGCTCTCCCTCCAGAAACCCGGGGGCCGTGGGACTGTGGTGGGCAGACAACTGCTTGTTCAAGTCCAGCCTGGGAGAGGAGAGGTGGTTCTTCTGCCCGAAACTAAATAAAAACAAGGGGAAGGGATGTGACACGAGGAAAAGCCATGCTTGGTAAGTGTGCAAAAGGTCCTGGATTTCACCCCCAGTACGATATTAGAAACAAAACAACAGGGCTGGGTGTGGTGGCCCATGCCTGCAATTCCAGAACAGGGGAGGTAGAAGCAGGAGGATCATGCAAGCTCAGGGCCAGCCTGGACTCCATATTAAAACCCAACCAAAAAGAAACAAAATAAAACAAACAAACAAACATAACCCCTTGGTTAGAAACCTTCATCTTTGCATCATAAAAAAAATGTCTCTTGTGAGGGTCAGATGGCTCAGGGGTGGAAGTGCTGGCCACCAAGCCTGACAGCTTGAGACCCAGGCCCCACGTGGTACTGACTCCTGCAAGTTGTCCTCCAACCTCCACATACTCACTGGGGCACAAGAATGCTCCTGCATCTGTGCACACATACAATAAATAGAAATGAAATAATAAGAACACAAGTGTTGTGAAGGGAAGAGGGGTGAGGGTTGGAGGAGGGAGCTTTCACTGGGGAGAGGGATGGAAGGGTAGAGAAGAGAAGGGGGGAAGGGGAAGGCAAACTAAGACTAAGAATATTAGAAAAGGCCATATGGTAGCCTACTATTTTATAAGCTGTATAGTTATTCATATAGTAGAATTTAATTGGTGTTAAACCACATAGGGTATTATTCTCCTCCTAGCAGCCATAAATCACTAAAAAAAAAAAAAGTCCAATACTAGGTTTGGGATATTTTTCCCTGAGTTGTTGGTCAGAGCTATCTTGGAGATCTCCATAACAATACAGGCTCTTGCCATTCCTCTTGTTTGCCCACAAAAACTTGATAGGAAGAATTTATTGCTAGAGACATAAGACACGTTGCTCATGGGATATGAAGAAATCCTGTTGGTATTGGCCAGGAAGCCCCCTCCCTATTGGCTAGATTTCATCGTACTGGAAGATGCTCTGTAGACTATTATGAGGGAATGTCATCAAAGTCTTAATGCAGCAGTGAATACAATGATGGCCGGTGTGGTAAGATATACCCATAAATGCAATAGTGGCACGAATATCACGAAGGTAAGCAACCACTTTCTGATTGGTTAAGGACCGAACACAGGAGGGAACATGTTCTACTTTCTACTATATGAGCATAGTCTCAAATCGCCCTGAAAATTTATCTCTCCCTAGTCATAGATCAGCGCAGCATTCTGAGCTCATCAGAGAAGTTTGCACACTACCTGATGGTTAACACAGATACTCACAACTGGTCAAAGTGCAATGAATAAGTGTCAGTGGAGTGTTTGACCTCAATGGGACCTCTATATCACACTCATCCCACCAAGGCTCAGGGGCCATAAAGAAGAGGAAGAAGACTAAGATGGGGGTCCCCTCTGTGTGCTGTGATTACCATTAATGCATAAAGAAACTGCTTTGGACCTATAGCAAGGCAGAACTTAGGTAGGTGGGGAAAGGTATGCTGAATGCTGGGAGAAAGAAGGGCGGAGTCAGAGAGACACCATTGAGCCTCCACCAGAGACAGATGTGATGAAACTTTGCTGGTAAGCCACAACCTTGTGGTGATGATGCACAGATTAATGGAGATGGGTTGAGTTAAGATGTAAGAGTTAACCATTAAGAAGCTAGAGATAATGGGCCAAGCAATGATTTAATTAATACAGTTTCTGTGTGATTACTTTGGGGCTAAGCGGCCTCACTCCTTTCTGCAGAAGACTGTCAGTAGTAGGGGTCAGGGAAGACCAAAGTGAAACAGTATCTTCTGAAGGTGCCAGGGCTGCTACATGCGGGCTCATGACAGCTGTGCTTCCTGCACTCCATCAAGCCAGTTGCCATGTTAGTATGGAAGGGGAGGTGGTTCACCAGCCGTACCACCCCAACTGTGATGGGGTGAGCCAAAGGTGATGGCTCTTGGGAGAGAAAAGGCCTGACCCTGTCGGTTGAGCATGCTCCAGTGGATAGCCACACACCCAGGAGCGTGGGCAGCACAAACTGGACTCCACGGGTTATTTAGGAAAAAATGAAAAAAAGAAAAGAAAAGCAGACACAAGGTTGGGGTGGAGGTGAGGTGACTCTGGGAAGAGTTAGGGTGAGGACTAGGGGCGAATGAATAGGATCAAAATACATTGCATGAGATTCTCAAAGAATTGACACACTTATATTTAAAAATTAAAATCTCTTACCTGAGTTACTGGGTTGTCAGTAGGGGGTCTGACCCTTCATGATGGTTTCATGAGTTGCCGCTATCTATCAAGCCTAACATGCCAGGAGACCTGACCAGCAGTGGGGCGGGGCAGAGCTGCTCAGCCTGCCCCAGTGAAAAAATGAGGAATGAGAGTAAAGAGTCCAAGGCACCTTCTGAGCATGAAAAGTAACATTCTGTGCTACTTCATCGCACCTCTGTGTAAATTCCCTTCAAACCCACGTCAGATGGGTGCTCTCCTTATTTATAGATGAGGGAGATTTTTCTTTTTGAATGGGTGTGTCCTCCTTGGGTCACATAGTTATGAGAAGCTGGTAACGGCTGGCTCATAGTGCTTTCCTGATGTCATGTCCTGTTGTGCTCTTGCACAATGTCTACCCTGGCCTCTTCTAAAAAAAACTAAACCAAAATGACATTGAACACTGCTTCCTCTTCTAGCTCATCTTCCCCCGGAACTTGTGTGACCAGTGGTTTGTCCCGAATAGTACTCAGTTTCTCAACTAGAAGAGAGTCACAGCCTGCAGTGGCTCCAGATTTTCCCCAAGTATCCTTGGACTCATGAGTTGAACACAGATGGAAGCAAACTGGTTTTCTATGGCTTTTATATCTTAATATCTTATCAATAATCCTTGTATACTAATCATCACTTACAAAGTAGGGAGACAGGTTTCTGAGTCTGAACATTAATCTAATTTGAACTTAAGTTTAAGACTCGGCACAGCACTGGGCAGTGGCGGTGCACATCTTTAATCCTAGCACTCAGGAAGCAGAGGCAGGCGGATCTCTGAGTTTGAGGCCAGCCTGGTCTACAGAATGAGCTTTAGGACAGTCAGGGCTGCACAGGGAAACTCTGTCTCAAAAAAAATCAAACAACAAAAACACAACAAAAAATGGGGGGAAGGGAAAAGAAGAAAAAAATCCAAAAGAAAAAGCAGAGTATAAAGAACCTAGCATGAACTGCCTCCTCGTCCACCACTTGCTGAGAACCAAACAGCAGCTCCAGTTTACGAAGTCCCATTTTACTGTTTAGCCTGGAGTCAAGAATCCACCTCGTCTAGCCTTGCACCACTATCCAAAGTCCTTCTTTCTAAAGCACTCTCTACCCTCTCCTGCAGGTGCAACCCAGTGGGTTAGGCTATCTTTTCGTCTTCACCTTCAAACAATAAACTTCATTTGGGTGTGGTAGTGTACATCTGTGATCCCAATCAACACTTAGGAGATAGAGGGAGGAGGCTTGCATGCCCAGGACCACTGTGGACTGCACAGCAAATTCTGGGCCAACCTGATTATGTTAGCTATGTTTCTATTAGTGGCTGTGGTAAAACACCATACCAGGGCAACTTATACAAGAAAGACTTATTTGGTCTATGGCTCCATAGGGTTGTGATCTATAACGGCAGGGCCATCATGTCAGTAGGGAGAAGACATGGCGGATGGAACTGGAAGCTGAGCGCTCACAACCTGAGCCCCAAGCATAAGACTGAGAGTGAATTGGGAATGATGTATGGCAACAGCACATCTTCTAACAAGGCCACACTCCCTAAACCTCACCAAATAGCACCACCAACTAGAGGCCAAGCAAGCATCTGGACCAACGGAATCCTTCTCACTCAAACCACCGCACTGATTTTTAGAGTGAACTGTCTCGAAATATCAGAAGCTCCCACCTAGCCTACAGCCTTATTCCAACCACAGCTTTTGTTCTCGAGACTCCTACAGATAGCAAGGACTCCTTCTTGACCTCAGTGGTACTGATGACTTCATTTATTGCATTATCATCATTGACAGTGTTCATTAACTAAACGACTATTCCCAAAGGATTGTAAATTACAGGAGATGTGTAGTTAGCTTTTGTTGTTTGTTTGTTTTGAAATGCTGGGGTTTGAACCCAGGGCACATTGCTAACCAAGCACACTAACACCAGGATATAACCTCACCTCAACCCTTGTTTTTTTTTTTCTTTTTTTGAGACAGTCTCATCGAGTAAGTCAGGCTGGCCTTGAACTCGCCATCATTGGCCTGTCTCTGCTTCCCAAGTGCTGGGATTGTAAGTGTGAGCCCTGACCCGCAGCTTGGGAATAACTAGCTCTGTATGTCACCCCAGAAACCTGTCTGCTGGAAGGGGACACTCTCTATGATTGTTTGCCTGAGCTTCCCCTGTGGTGTGATGTCTATATTCCAGAGCTCCAGCCAGCAACCCCGACTCAGGGACTACTCCCGATGAACCGTTCGGCCCTTTGGGAAGAATGATGAACAGTGGTGACTCTGAGAGCCGAGGTGGCCTGTGGCTCTCCATTCTTTGGTTCACGGGACAAAGGGACAGATCAAGGCATCAGACCTCTCAAAGCTGGGGTTGGAGGTCATCGTGAGCCTCCTGGTGAGAGCAGTAGGAACTGAACCCTGGGCCTCTGGAAGAACAGCAGATGCTCTTTCTTTGTAGCCATCTCTTCAGTCCCAGGCGTTTCATTTGTTGAGGCAGTCTCACGAAGCCCAGGCTGCCTGCAGATTGGCCTTGAACTTCTGGCTCTCCTGCCTGCACCACCCTAGTGCATATTATAGGTATTGTATTACCAACCCTGGTATATGAGATGCTGAGAACCAAACCTAAGGCTGCATGAATGCTGGGCAAGCACTCTGCCAACTGAGCGACATCTCCAGCACGATTTTTTGTTTGTTTGGTTTTGTTTTGGGTTTTGGGACAGAGTCTCATGTAACCAAGGGTGGCTTTGAATTTTCTGTGTAGTGGGAGGCTGTGTGGGACGAGCGGCCAGGACCCGAGGACCTCCAACTGCCAGACTCTCCCCATAGAGCACTCTAACGGCCATAATGCTGGACCCAGCCCCATCCAGAGGCCTCCAGATCACTCCAGAGTTTAAAACCAACGCTCAAGACCTGAGAACTCATCAATCCGCTGGAAGGCTCCATCACCCCAAGAAATGCTATATAAACCCTGTCTTCTGCTCAGTTCTCGGCTGCTTCTCCCCTAAGCAGGGGCAGGCATCCTTCTGGGGTTTTCCTTCCTAATAGAACTCTTGCATGAGGCTTGTTGTGAGGTATGACTTTGTGGTACTCCTTGGCTCCTGCTAGGATACCTTTCCCTCAGAGCTGTGACACTTCCACTGGGAAAGACGATCCCCTCAGAGTGTAACACTTACAGACTGGCCTTGAGTGGCCAAGCCTTCTGTCACTACTTCCCACTGCTGAGATTATAGGCCTATCTCGTTATGGCTGCCCCTAATGCAATTAGTGACTTAAGCAAGGATTATCAAGTGATGTTAACACCCTATATGGGGGCTGGAGAGACGGCTCACTGGTTGAAAGCACTGGCTGCTCTTCTAGAGGACCTGGGTTCAACTCCCAGCATCCACAGGGCAACTCACTCCTGTCTATAACTCCATTTCCAGGGCATCTGACACTGTCACATGCAGGCAAAACACTGATGAACATAAAACAAAAATAAGTTATAAAAACAAACAAACAAACACAAAGTTAAATGGGTGATCTTCGAAGGCAACCTTGCTAATTTTCCTAAAGAATGTATCCTCTTTTAGTCTTGCCCGTTTCTCCACATGGATATGAAGCTAAATCCTCTATTTCACTTCCGCAAGCCTGTTGTCAACATTTATTTACATTCAAGGTCAGGAGTTTTGGTTAAAACACAAATGTGTGGTTTAAACAAGATCTAAGAGCTGACACCAATAATGGTGCTGGGGCAGCCATTGCCACAGGTGCCACACTTGTGGAAACCAGGCTGGCCCCAGACTCTCAGAGCTCTGCCTGCCTCCGATCTATACTGCAAGTTCTAGGTCAGGCGGGGCTACACAGTAAGACCCTGTCAAAAAAAGAAAGGCACTGTTGTAAAAAAGCCACCATTAAGAGGAATGTTTGGTGGCCTTGCATAGTCTGCAGAAACCAGCTATAAAAGACTTTTGAGGCCAGCACTTGGGGGACAGAGGCAGGCAGATTTCTGGGAATTTGAGTCCAGCCTAGTCTACATATCAAGTTACAAGCCAGCCATCATACACAGTGAGAGGCTGTCACAAAAAAAGGCATTTACGAACAAAATTAAGGCATTAAATATGTATTAAAAATTAGATAATTTTTAAAGACATTACTAATAGATAAGAAAAATGACATAACAAAATCCATTATTTTGTATGCTAACCTAAAACATTAATAAGGAATAAGAAAATGTTATTTGGACTGCATAGGAAAATATTCTTTTTGTTTGTTTTTAATTTTTTGTTTTTTTATGTGCATTGGTGTTTTGCATGCGTGTATATTGGTGTGTCACATGTATGCTGTGCCTACGGAGTCCAGAAGGGGGTGTTAGATCCCTTGGAACTGGAGTTACAGAAAGATGTGAGTCCCTGTGTGGTTAGGGTGCTGGGAACTGGCCTCTGGTCCCTGAAAGAGCATCAGTGTTCATAACCGTGGGGCCATCTCTCCAGCCCCATTGTTCTTATTCTGCAGAAATGCATATTGGACAGGAGGCTGAGTCAGGAGGATTGCACATTAGAAACCAGACTAGGCAACTGGGCATCAGTGGTGGTGCACGCCTTTAATCCCAGTACTCAGGAGGCAGAGATGGGTGGGTCTCTGTGAGTTCAAGGCCAACCTGGTCTGCAGAGCAAGTTCCAGGGCAGGCTGCAAAGCTACAAAGAAACCGTGTCTTCAAAATCAAAAACCAGTCTCGGCAACACAGGGAAATGATGTCTTAAAATTTAAAAAAAACAAAATTAAATGTCTTAAAATTTAAAATTTCTTAAAATGAAGACGAAGAGCAAGACTGGAGGTGTGAATCAGTGGACATGTTTTTGCCTGGTACACTCAAGACGTGGTTTCATCAAAAACCCTCCCTACCCCAAAACAGAGAGATAAGTACTAGTGTGCATTAAGAGTTATTTCTTCAATTTCATTTATCTGTTTATTGGTAGCACATGCCATTTTGTGTGTGGAGGTCAAAGGGCAACTTAGAGGGCAATCAGTTCTTTCATTTCACTGTGTGGGTGCCCAGGGATCAAACTCAGGTCATCAGCCACCTTTATCTGCTGAGCCATCTTGCGGGCCCAACCTTGAGTTCTCCATCTATAGATCACAGGCCAGTTGTCATTCTCACTGCCGTCTCTCATGCGGCATGCAGGCTGAAGGAACAGCCATGTCTGGGATATACTGGAAATGAAGGTTACACTTGGCTCAATTAATAAAGTTCCTGCCCTGCAAGCACGAGGGCCTGAGTTCAGACCCCCAGACCCACTTTCAACTATGACTGAGTGTGTCAACATGTCTGTAACCCCAGCAATGACCAGGACAGCCAGAGATGGT